ACCTTACAGGGCTCTCTTCCTTCATATTTAAATCTGCTTACCCTCAGGGGTCCAATTCTACCTAGAATTTATACCACATTATTTTAGCATTTCATTGTTTTTATGCCTGAGAATTTATTTTCTGTGACCTGATGGCAAGTTCTCTGATGGCAGGAACCACTCTTTATAATTTTGGGGTGTCCCCAGCAGTATACGGAGCTTTAACTGTCTTCTAGGCATCCTTTTCCCTCTATTCCAACAGCACCCTGATTTCTCTTTGCTAGACCAATCTGTTACGGTGATTGGTTCAGGACAAGGCATATGACTTAATGAAAAACAGTGAGAATCATCAGCCCTGGACATTTAGCTGGAGCTTTTGGTTAAGACCCTCTTTCTCTAAGAGTTACTAAACTAATAGGAGATGCTTGTGACTATGAAAATGAAGCTATACTGAGAAGAATGGAGCCAGAAGACAGTCCTGGTGGCTTTGTTTGGGGCTCTGAATGCACCATGCTTCTCCCCAGCACCATCCTTGGCCTTTTTAGTTATGACAGCCAACAACTTTCCTTCTTGATGCTGCTTGGGTTGCTTCCAACAGAAAAAGTGCTAATACACCACCTGGCTGGCACTTACCATGGGACTAAGAATAGTAGGCAATAAATATATATTTATTGATGTGCTGGTAATTTGCTTGCAGTTATGCCTAGGGTGGTTAATTTAAAGTTTAAAGATGGAACTGTGGTAATGCTAGTAGTAGAATTTACTCCATCAGCCCATCTAGATAAGAAGAAAATTGTTGGGGTACTGAAATAGTAAAGCCAGAAGCTTTGGCCTAAAGTCATTGTTCTGCTCTTCTGTAGATCTAAACAACAACAACAAAAAAAAAACTGAACTCACTGCTGTTGAGTCGATTCAACTTATAGCAAACCCTCCTTGGGTTTCCAAAGCAGTATCTTTATGGAAGTAGATTGCCCAATTTTCCTTCTGAGGAGTGGCTGGTGGGTTTGAACCACCAGACTTCTGGTTAGCAGTCAAATGCCTTAGGCACTATGCTACCAGAACTCCCTCTGTAGGTCTACTACTTTATAAACCTTATCTACTCCATATTGCAGGCCATGTTAGCATCTCCATATCAGAGATCCAAACATGTCTTCTGGCGTTATCAGCCACTGTCTCTTCCCTAGTGAAGGGAGAGGGAGACACTTAGCACATTTTGACTTGTAGATACTCAGTTTCCTTGAACATGTCTACTTTGGTTTTGGCTGTTTTCATATGAAGTCTTTTTAATCCCGGGACCCACTTACAGAATACAGTAGAACTGCAACATGATCATTTGCTTAGGGTACACTCCAAGGTAGAGATTTTAGCAGCTATTGCCTTTCTACATGATTTCTTTCCTTTGTTCCCCTAGCTACAGGAAACTTTCAGTTAGAGTCCTTGGGAAAAGACAGAGGGCATGTGACACATGAGATTACAGAACACACTGCCTTCATAAAGGCTTTATTTCTACTTCCTCATGATCTCACACAGACTCGGAGGCACCATCAATCTGTCTCAATTTGGTGTCCTCACAGCTTTTTGAAGGGTTTCTCCTTAAACAAGAAAATTGACTAAACACTATACATTGCCAGTTAATCTTTTAACAATAATTTAAAAATTTTGTTGTTGTTGTATCATCAACGCAAGAGGACTGACAATAAAAGTACAGTACAAGGAAATTCACAATGTATTACAGCGAAACACATGGACTCACATTGAGGTGATGGTGAGAATCAGCAGCAGTATGTACACGCACTCAGTGCTGGGAACCCAAGACATGCAAGGCAAGGAAAGATATGGACTGCACAGTGGTTCTGTGCACTCCTCTCAAGACTCTGAACCTTTCCAACACTTTGACCTGTATCCTCTCTGGTTTATAGATACTCATCTTGTCTATTTTCTTCATGGCTTTTTCATTACAAAGTTTACTGATTCAGACAGTCAGAAGCACTTCAAAATTCTTTAAAAATAATAACACTGACAAAATAAAAATAACTTAAAATACTCTAATTCAACATGGGAGTGAACCAAACCAAATGGAACAGTGCAAATTTAACAGAAAGGCAGTCATTACTGAGAGCAAGGGCATTCGGAATCTCTTAAAATGTACATTTTTTAAAACTTTTATTTTTTAAATTTATATCTTATTTACCTTTTTTTGTTTAATATACTGTGTAAAAAAGATGGAGACAAAAATAGTTTTCTGAGCTATGAAAAAATTAAGTTATTACAGGCACATTTACTGTTTCATTCTAGAAACATCTCAGTTTCACAGGTTGAACATTCAGCAGCTGTGTGTTTTTTTGTAAAAAACATTCTTTGACCTTGGGAAAACAAGCTCTCTCCTTTTGGGCAGAGGTTGGTTCATGAAGATAGGGTGGTTATGCAAATTACAGTGAATTATTCTGTGATAATTCATGCACACTTGCATCACAGGTGCAGCTTCTCCACTAGTGGCTCCGCGTCACCTTGGTCCTCCATGGGCAGCAGGTCTCCAGGGGCCTGAGGCTGTGAGGCAGTGGGGGAGTGTAGGGCCCAACGGGATGGAGGGCGTCGGTTTGCTGGTCTCTCGGGCCTGGAGAAGCAGGGCTCTAGGGAAGGGGCGAGTGCCGAACACGGGAGTTCCTTCAGAACAGGGAAAGGGAAAGATGTTACTCAGACCAGCAGCTTCTCCAAGTGTTACTTCCCCCAAACACACTTCTTAACAGATAGAAGTTAAATGCAACTTTGAACATTAGTTACTATCTGCTTATGAAGAATAACTTGAAATGAGAAGTCAACAACTCAATACAAATGATCAATGACTACGCTGATTGGATGATATCAAAATATGGCAAGACTGTAACATGGGTCTATTTCCATGGATAGCTCCCTCAGAGTGTGGTGGCAACATATACAACTTTGGGGAAAAGCAAAAGTCACTGTGGTCTCCACAGGCCACATCATGATGTTCCAATCCAGCTGCTCCAATTATTTTGGCTTTCTGGAATGATCTATTAGGTGACTTCAATGTAGTCCTAAAAGGCCAGGCTTCCTCTGCTTGGGTCTGTCTGGGCCTGTGAAGACCTGTGATTCCACCCAGCTGTCTTCACAATGAGAGTCAGCCAAAACGAACTCTGCTACTGTTTACCCCACATTGACTGGCAGGAGGTTAAACAAGCTCCAACAACATGGAAAAATGCGCCAGGCAGGAATTTTAATTTGGGTCTAGTGTTCTTTAATGATTATTCAGTGGAGCAGATTTTTTTTTAAAGTGGAATCAGATTGTACTTGTGATTTTCTCTTACATGACTCCTACACATTCTGAAATCTGGACATGCAACACAGCACAATTCATCTATGATGTTTATTATCTAGGGTTCATGGTATTTTGTTTTTTTATTTTTCAAGAATGTTGACCAACTTGTCTGCATGTTAGGAAACACGGACACCCAAACATGGAACTTGCCGGCACACAGAAATGTAAAGAGCTGTGGCATGAAGAAAAACAGAGTTATACATGGTGGACCCATCTGCCCAAGTGATGCCCAAACAACCAGAAACCAAGATGGAAAACCAATGCAATGGAAGGCAGAGGAAGAGTGAAGACAGAACAAGGACACTCCCATCAAAGTGAGTGAATTCTCCACCGGAGATTTGAAGAGAGATGATGTTCAATGAAAAGATCAGCCAGAGGAGCAGTGAAGCATGAGGGGTGGCCAGAGCAGCTGAGTCGCACAGCAATGTTACAATGTGGGAGGAGGCACGCAGGGGACCAGTGGTGACAAGATGGCCTGAGGGCAGCATGAGACCCACAGGCTTCTGGAAGAGCAACAAAGTGAGCTGGTTCCCCTACCTCCTTGTGTGGCAAGGAGAGAAAGAGCCACATTAACATCAGGAACTACTTCTTAAGGTCCCTGGTGTCTTTTGTGGTTGGCATTTTATTATGTGTTACAAAGCGAGAAACCTCAGTCAGCAAAGCACTTATGCAAATGGCACCAGAGGAGAAATACCTCTCTAAGTAAAACCATGTCACTGTCAAAGCTGAGCTACAAACTAACGGTGGTGCTGAGTCCTTCCCTCACCTCAAAAGTGGACACAGGGCTTGGGAAATCTGCTAGTGTTTTCTGACCTTCTGACAGAAGAATGATGGGAACTGATACCTGCAAGAGGTGGTGGGAACAGAAGAAACCCTGCTATTGTGGTTTTGTGTCTTCTTGTGTCTCTGCTCACCTTACTGTAGGTGGATTTATTCCTTCTGGTATGATTGTGTGTGTGTGTGGGGGGGTGGAGCTTCCTCACATATGTTGTTGTTATGTGCCATCGAGTCAGCCCCGACTCACAGTGACCCCTCCTTGGGTTTCCGAGGCAGTATCACTAAAGAAGTAGGAGTGTTCAATCTTCCTTCCGAAGAGTGGCTGGTGGGTTTGAACCACCAGCCTTCTGGTTAGCAGTCAAGTACCTTAGGCACTATGCTACCAGAGCTCCCTCCTCACATATAGTCATATCTCATTGCAGCATAAGGGAGCACACACATGTGGCAGGAAGAGTGGAGCAAGAGAAGGCCAGCCAGGAGACCAGGGTCTTGACAGAAGCCTGGCTCAGAGACCCACTCAGACAAGACCTTTTGTGCCAGAGACACCTCTCACCCCTGCCCAGCCAGTATCTCCTTACCCCTCTAGAAGCACAGGAGAAAGGAAAATCTCAGTAGATTCAGGAGCTAAAACTTTCAGTATCCTAAACATTTTTCTTCCCCTTAAGCAGTCAACACTCAAGTGGGGGCAAGTGGAAATTTTTAGGCTTGCTTGTTAGTCACCATCAATGTGCTAATCTACGGAGAACCTTTGGTGAGTGTGGGAAGTGGCCTCTGTGGGAGCAGTGATCTACCTCAGGTGACTCTGCCTTGTTTGTGAATTTCAGATGTCAACCACAGTGACACAAAATTACCTCTCCAGACAGTTTGGAAACAAGGAAGAAGGCACTTACAGCATGAGGCAGGCAGGCTAGAGTCCCCAGGGGGCAGTTAGTAAGACAGTTTGGTTCTGGACAGAACAGACAGAGAGAGAGAGAAAAGAAAAGCAAGTAGGTTGGAAAGTTGTGGTTGTTTTTTTGTTTTTAAAAAAAGGAGAACAGAGCAAATGTTTTATAGTCAGCAAGACAAGTGGCTGAGGAGGGCTCCTCTCAGGAGAAACTTGAGGCCTCACAGAATTTGGCAGATTCACTCCAAGGCAGTGTGAAGAGTGTAGCTCAGCTCTCAAGCAGTCAAGGGCTTCCCATCTGCCATCAATTCAGAAGTAAGAAGCAACCATATAAGACACAGCATACATCACTGTAATAGATATCCCTTCCTGCCTTCCACTCTTTCCCAACTGCCCTTCAGTTGCTCTTTAGTATTTAACATTTCAAGCATCATTTGGAGAATGAAGCATTGGAAACTGAGTGACTGTTGTATTTGCAAGAGACCATGATATGGCCTGGTTTTCTTGGTCACAATGATCAAGCTACCACTACTCATATTAAAAACTCCCCCTCCCCCACATGGAAGGAAGATTAGCATTATATTTTCAAATTACACTGTTTCTCTTAACCCCAAAATTTCTTCATGCAGTTTCTTCCTGCATTGCAGAATTGATGCTCTAGCTTCAAGAGGAAAAGAGGTATTGTGTAGATGTAGGGCTGAGAGTGAGGTGAGAAAGAAGAATTTTCTCTTATTGTCCATATTCCTAGTACAGGGTTGCCCACATCATCCCTGCATCTACATACCCCAGGTAACTTCAGGGAATGATCTCATGTGGAATTCTGAGTGGGTGGGGAATTAGTAATGGACTCAGTGGTAGTTCTGGTTATTCTGGAATGAAAGTCCAGAAATATTTCATAATTTATGAAGTGTGGGAAGGGCTCTCCAACTTATTTAACTCAAACCAGGGATAATTCCATTGGAACATCTAGAAGCAGTGAAATCTCAATAGGGAAAAGCCCTGTGACAGTTGAGCAGTGATGTTCTTCGCAGGTCTGAGTCCCTGTGATAGGCCAATGCTCCTGACAATCACCTCTTTCCAGAGCAAGCACACGGAAAAAGAACAAAATCTAAATAAACACCTCACAGGGGACTGAAGGGGAGACTGCATCTTTGCATTCATAAAACCATCTCATGCCCTAATGCTGCAATTCAGCCATTCAATTACTTTCTTTCTATTTCATGGACTGCTGGGAACATTCATTGCAGTAACTCAGAGTGATTTTTTTGTTCCTAATAATTAATTTTTACTTAGTTTCTAATATAAATGGACACTATAGACACAGCCAAGTTAATGCTTTTGGACAAAGTCCCAATCTCAACAGATTCTGCCAGAGCCCTAGGAGGGCAGAGCATTCTCACACAGACCTTCCATAGCAGTGAAGCACTTACCTGTGGGCCCAGAAGGATGGCATGACATAGCCTGCAGATGACACCATTTGTCACCTGACAACATGCAACCAATATTCATTTTCCTCAGAGCATATAAACAACTTTTTCACAGAGCACCTTAGCTTAGGGACACGTAGGCCACACATAAACTATTAGTAGTTGTCTGGTTATGATTATATGGCTCCACAGGCATGACCGCTGGGAGTGTTTTAGGAGACCTGGACAGAGAATGAAAGGAACTGTAGAGGTGTGACTATGAAAGGTGGGAGCCATGCATTCTCACTTGGTGGAAAGGGTGACACTAAATAAGGATGGGAGGAGGGAGGGTTTTGGCTTTCTTGAGATACTCAGAAGTAGGTCAGGGAGATTATTCTGGAATCCTGGGGTACTCTCTTTGTTTCCTGGAGTTCTGCAAGAAAAATTCTGCCCAAAAGAATCCTGGATTGTTCTGAAGACTTTTGTTAATCAGGAAGATTAACAAGATCCATATTGAAGTGCACGAGTTCCTTTGTGGGAGCCACGTGTATGTCCTCTGGAATTTCATAGAAATTTGTAAGAACAGAACTGTGCTAAATGCACATATTATGCTTTTTAAAAAGTACAGGAAAACAGCTGTAAAATTTTAAATGTAATAACAATAAAATAGAATATACTAACCTGAGCTCCATATGCCTTTAGGGTGTATTTTCATGCTTTCTAAATGTAGTAATGTAGTGGTATAAATTTTTTAAAAAATTCTCAGAATTAGTATATACCTATAATGATAAAGGTATCTTTGCTAACAAAAAGGAAAGATGTAACTGTGATATAAGAAGAAGTTCCTGGTTATCACTACCAAAGAAAACTTTGAATTCTTGAATATATGCTTACATATGGTAAACGATTTAAAAATTTATATACTTCAGATTTTTAATTAAGAAACAGGCATATAACAAACACTACAAAATAGAGAATCTAGAGATTAAAGTCACTGTTTATTATTTGCCAATTATAACTCATTATTCATTCTAGACAACTAACTGGATAAGTAACTATTGAAATAATTTTTAACTAGTGTATATGATAAATAATTATACAAAATTTCATTTGTCTTTTTCTAATTACTTATATTATCTTTAAGGAGCTCTGGAGGTTTAGTGGTTAAGGGCATCTGGCTGCTAACCAGAAGGTCATTGGTTCAAACCCACTAGCTGCTCTGTGGAAGAAAAATTCTGTAAAGATTTATAGCCTTGGAAACCAAATAGGGGTCTCTATGAATTAGAATTGACTCAATGGCAGTGAGTTTTGTTTTTCAGCTTACATTATCTTTAGACTAAATTTTTTCAAATAGACCTAGAATTCTGCTACGGTACTTTATAGTATAACCTCCCTGTTGTTTATTTTCTTAGGAAATGAAAAGTGATTGATTTAATAACTCTGCACATATTTTTCTCTGGATCCGTATCATAACCATGTGATTTTACTGAAAATTTTTTGGAAATACTATAAAAATATATTTAAATAAGTGTAACAAATAAGTATCTATAAATATAAATAAATATAAGTGGAATTAGAGATAAAAGGAGGAGAAATATGACCAACTGGAGAAGATCCCTGAGGAGGAGGAGTTTATGGCAGACACAAGGTTTACTGGAAACCATAGTTCTAATCAGGAGAGGGATGAGGTGTAATCGTCCTGAGGCAAGATTAGGAAGATTCTTGTTTCTGTGTGCAGAACTTGTTGGAGGGCTGGATAAGCTGGAGAAAATCTGGAGAGAAAGTTGCTACAGGTGTCCAGAATCAGAAAAGTTAAGGCCTGGACTACAAAGACACCTGTGGTGATATGATACTTGAAAAGTACTAAATGGGCTAAGTCAGCATGGCTTGGTGAGGAGTGGAGTCAAAGACTCCAAAGCTGCAAGTCTTACTTAAAGTACCTATTTGGAGAAGGCAGCAATCAAAAGGATGATGCACTATGTGTATCAAGATCCCAGAAATGCTGAGTTCCCTGCAGGGGGTCTCAGGATGGGATTTCAGATACTCCCTTAGGAATATCCATGTGCACTCATATACACACACAGACATTCAAATGCTGGGCTGCAGTGTGGCTTTATGGGAGATGGCTTAATGATATGCAAAGAGATGCAACTATGCTGATTGGAAGTTGTGAAGAAATTTTTTAACCAACATTTCTCCTCAAGAAAAGAGTTCACACACCATATATCTTATTTATCCTAAATTTAGTAAGTAAGGCATTTCAGCAAATTTAACTAAAAACTTGGTATGATTTAAAAATGGAATGGTGCTTTAGAAACAAAAGGTGATGTTTTCTAAAGTGCTGTTTAGTAGCAAGGAGATATTTAACAGATTCATCAAGGTTCACTTTTAGTTTTGTCCTTGTTTACACTCAATGGATGATGAGAATTTTGGGAGCAGGCCAAGGGAGCAGCTTTTAATGATCATGGCAGGTAGTTATTAGTGAGAACAGATATTGCTGAGGTCTTAGAGTACTGGAGAAAGCCTTGAAAATAGCAAGGTATACCAGGTGTCATTAAAAATTCAGAAGATCATTAAAAATGCAGTGGGTACTACAGGGTTCTTTTTAATGGCATGGAAATGAGAAATCTGATTATATAGAGAAATATGAATTGAACCAGTATATGAAACAAGAATTGAGACAGTATATTAAACAAGGATCGAGCCAATATAATCTGGAAGAGGAAAATGCAAAAAGTTGAAAGGCAAGTAAGGGCAAGGCTCAAAATGGCCCAAATCATACACATCTTTTTGTAACTATAGGCAAGAAGAGATGTGTCACAGAGTTCTCATTTGGATCACATTTTGAAGATTGCCTTAGTATGCTCTACTGCTCTCCTGAGATATGGGGCCTCTGCTCCAGGAAAGACCAGAAAAAGGAGTGCTTAGACATCATCTAGGTAGTTCTGTATAGATTTACTTTAATTTACTGAAATTCTATGTACCCATTTAGGCACTGAGGAAATAAAAATGCAGTCCATGTTCAAAACACACTTCCAGTCCAGCAGAAGAAGAATTCTATATACTTGGCGAGAAAATCTGATAAATCCTACATGAATCATACGAATACAATTTGATGGAAGAACAGAGGTGGGAGTGTTAAGGTGTGGAGGAGGAAAAAGAGCCCTAACCATGGAGATTTTAACATGTAAATTGGTAATTTGAAAAGAGGAACTGCATAGGCAAAGTCAGAGTTAAGAAAAGACAAATTTTCTTTGAGGACAGCCTTGAATTCTTGAAGCAGAGAAGTTGGAGGGAAGTAAGACAAGAGAGGTATTTGAGGTCACATCACAGACCTTGAATGACATGCTAAGAAATGTGGGGAGCTACTGCAGTTATCTGAGTATGGAACAAAAATCACCAGATCAAGATTTTAGTGAGGTGACTTGGGCAATTGTGTGTGTTGGTTTGGAATGGGAAGACAGAGACAGAAAAAAGGACAACCAGGACAATCAGGAGGTTATTGTAAAACTCCAAGCAAGAAGCAAAAAGGATATGAATCAGGGGAGCAACAGCAAAGATGTTGAGAAAGAAGGATAGGAGGGGTATCTATAGCTAATGTGTGGGCAAGGAATACAAACAACCAGAGAGGTGCTAAAGGTTTGAACCAGAAGACAGTTGGAGGAGTGGATGTGGAGAGACAGGGGCTAGGTAATACATGTTAAGTTTAAATTACCCAGACAATTTGTTGTTGTTGTTTGCCGTTGAGTCAGATGCAACTTATAGCGACCTCTCCTTGGATTTCTGAGGCAGTATCACCACGGAAGCAGATTGCCCAACCTTCCCTCCGAGGAGTGGCTGGTGGGTTTGAACCGCCAGCTTTCTGGTTAGCAGTCAAGTGCCTTAGGCACTATGCCACCAGAGAATTAGGATTGGGTATTTGAAGGTGTTTTGCGGTGAACATCCTGAGAGCCAGCATGGAAAAAGAGGGAAAATATGGAGGGGAACCATTGGTTTTGACCTTGTTTAGACAAAAGAAATGATGGGACTTTTTGAAGAAAGGCAGGGGAGCAGCCTTAATGATGCACAACATGTAGAGCTGGACTGAGCAGGGGCTGGTGCCACCCTAGCAGCTCCTCATCTTCAGGTTCCAAGATATATATGTAACAAGATCTGATGGTTTGTCAGCTGAACAGACAAGTCAGCCCTGTAGACATGGGCTAACCAGTAGGAAGACGATCAAAAGTATTAAGGGAGATGAAAGGTGTGGCCTGAAGCCAGGCTATTGTACTTAAAACAGTAAAATCATAAATTGACTAGAGTAGAGCCCTTCATCTCCACAGCTCGTATTAGAGAACATGTATCTGGAACTGATGGTCTGACTGTGTAACAGAGAGGAAGATGGGAGTCTCTACCACTTCCAAGAAACAGGATTCTCCACTGGAGAAAGAGCTGAAGAAGCTGAGTTACCCATTATGCAAGATCAGGTACTAAACAAGTGAGCATATTACTTGCTTTGCTGGACCACCAACATAATTATACAGCAAACATGCAACCTACACAGAGCTTTTGAGCACTCATTTATAGGCATACTGCTTAGAACTGACATACGTTGTCATAGAAATAACATCCTGTATTTTGGTTGTTATTTAGCCACAAATAGCACAGTATTACCTACGTTTCTGTAGGTAACTGGTAATTTCATATAAATTAACCTATATTAAACTCTTCGGTTTGTGTAAATACTCCTTGCTGGGTTAGACTGGGACCTAAAATAACCAGAAAGCTGGCAGTTCAAACCCACCAGCCACTCCTTGGAAGGAAGGCTGGGCAATCTACTTCCATAGAGATATCGCCTCGGAAACCCAAGGAGGGGTTGCTATGAATCGAATCAACTCCATGCCAGTGAGTTTTTTTTTTTTTTTTGTGGGGTGTAATGTGGAGTAGAGGTGGATCAGGTGACATAGTACACACACCTTTCCCCTCTCCCTGCCCATGAAACCCACGGCTGCTGGGGCCATGACTAGGAAGGAACAGAGGTAGCAGAGGGAACATGCTTCTCCTCCTCCTGTCATGGCCCTTGCCATCTGCTGGAGCTGTGCAGGGTGAAGAGGGCTCTGCAGTCTGCTTTCCTAGTTCTCTCTTTCCCCGGCTAATGGTGAGTCAGGGCTTAGGGTCAAGTCCACACTCATGATCAATCATTAACAGACCAACAGGGACATGTGTCCTTTCAGCATCGTCTAAATATGAGGCTGGCATCCTCATGGCTTTCTCCACCAGCATTTGAGTAGGGATTTTTAAAAATACATGTGGACAAGCATCAGAACAGAAATCAAGATTGACTGATGTATGAATAATGCAAAGGGGGATAATAATATTTACATTGTATTAAGGCAGAATTTTGGATTTATTCATTTGTTTCATCTATGTTTATCGCTAGGAGGATTTGCAGACAGAAAACACCTGAGTGATGTCAGACTGCCATTTTATATTGAAGCCAGCACTGAAATCCACCTGTTCTTCCTGTGGTTCCTGATGAGAATGTGTTAGTTTCCAGGCTTCCCAAACCTTCTCCAGCTCACCTCACATTCTGCCACCTATCAAGGCCTGTAGCATCCAGAAACCTGACACAATTCTGATGTACTTTTCACTACACACACATATTTCTAGGACACAAATTATACAGAAAAAGGGCATGTTATGACTGCAAATGAAAAGCCTAGATAAAGCAGAGGGCATCCGTCCCTTAGACCAGAGGACAGACACGAATCAAACTATATCCTCCATGATTTTTAGAAGGACTATAAAATGACATTTCTCTGAAAATCAGCTCAGGGTTGTTTTTCTGCTTGTTCCATTTTCCCATTTACCCATCACCTCACAACTCACAGCCTGCTATGGACTGTAATTCATGAAATCAAATGAGCTCATATAACCCCAGGTTCAAACATGCCCATATTTAAGTGAGAAGTCAGCAGGGTGAAGGTGGGAATACTCGGTACTCATTACCTCGATGGACCCTGGTTCGGCTTTGCCCATCTCCCCTGCATGGCCATCACTGTTCAGACTCAGGGGGCTGTGAGTGGCCTGCCTCCTCTCCTCTTTTAAGGCATGCTCCAACAGCTTCTTGTTGAGGATACGAGCAGTGTTCTCTGTAAGTGTGTGGCCAGGGGGAGCAGATAGGTCCTGCCTCACTGGCGTACCCTCTCCACCTTCCTCTCTGAATGTTTCCACTCCAACCCCAAGAGGGCTGGGTGACCGTCCCCGGGAGCTGGTGCCTGTTTCCTGGCCCGGGCCCAGCTCTTGTCGGGGTTCTGCCAAGCGGGACTGGTTCCCAGCCCGCACCCCCTTCTGGAAAAGGTCTTGTCCTAGGGGGCTGTGGTCAATGATGTTGAAGAGGCTGGAGAGGCCATCGTTGATGGTTGTGTGCACCGGGCTCTCCCTTGTGGTGGTGGAGCGCGCCCAGGCTGACTCGCTACAGCCCTTCTGAGGCATCCCTGACGAGGTCCTATTATTTGGCTGGTCGGCTTTGGGGAGGGACTTCCTCTGCAGCTTAGGAGATCCATATTTGGGGGAGCAGCATGTGCGTTCAAACTTGGCCTGCACCTTCTCGATGGCGGGGGCCACCTGTCTGCTCCTCAGACTGCGGGAAGGTGAGGACACAGGTGTGGTGCCACCCCCAGCTTTGGGTGTGAGACACTTGTGGGGACTGCTGGTGACACCCCCTCGTAGGGCTTCAGTCTGCAGGCCGACGCTAAGGGTCTGGACAGTCTGTGTCCCGGTTGTCTGGGACCCATTGGTCTGGCAGGACATGTCCTTGACCTTAGGCTCTGCAGGGCAGATGGTACTCCTGACGGAGAAGGCCACCTCCTTCATATCATCACTCATGTTTTTGGACATTTCCAGGCTGTGCAGAGGGGAGGCAAACCCCAGGGAGGTGCAGAGGGGCCCCTCAAGAGAGCAGAGCTTGCCATTCCCATAGTCCCGGGGATATCTGGTGAGGTCACAAGGCCACCTGCCAAACATATGCTCTGCTGGGCTCCCCTTAGCTTCCCCTACGCCCCCTCTGGCTCTGGCTGTGGGGAAAGGGAATTCGGGGTCCCCTGGGCTCTGCTCCTCACTGCCCATGGCCATGACCACACTATCAAACCTACGCACAGCAGGTGGACTGTGGAGCACACGCACACCTGACCTTTCTGCCACAACGTGGCTGCGCAGTGGCTGCTTCTGGCAGTGCTCAGGGTGGGTCATGGTGTCTGTGGTCATGGTGACACTTGTGGTGAGGTACCATGAGGATTCTGGGAAAGGGTCCGCTGCAGCATTGGCTCCAGCCTGCCCCACCTCGGTCCTGTCTGCCCAGGAGTCTGGGGGCTTCCCTAGCCCTGTCCCATGGTCTCTGGGGGGGCTATAATCCCAGGCCTTATTGTTGAACTCCTCGATGTACTTGAGGTCATCAGGAGATAGGGGAGGGGTGGTATCCTCTTTGTTGCCCATGGAAGGCAGGCCCTGGTCAGGCAGGAAGGGAGAGATGTCCATCAGGCGCTGGAACTCTGACATCGATGTTACAGACACTGCCCTGTGGAAAGGAGAACCAATATGAGCATTCTGCAGGGTTCCTGCTGCTCCCCCTGACCCCCACACCCCCACGCCACACACAAGAAGACCACACAGCCGTGGTCCCCAATGCACACAGTGCATCCTCACATAGCAGTGTGCTAGGTTGGGCACACTAGTCTACCCACACTATTCACTGGCACCCGAGAACACTCTCCAGCTACCCGATGCTCTCCACTCACAAGCTGACCTATAGATGTTTCACAGACTTTCTGTGGCCCTGGAACTATTCCCAGAGCCTTGCATTGATCAGAATTTAATACAATCAACTCTCAAGTATTGAGGAAATATGTGGAGGAGCATAGCTGAATATAGTCACAGACCAATACCACACCCACCTTAAGGAATTAACTTCATGCTTAGTCTATTGGTATCCCTGGAAAGAGAAAAACTTTGGGATTTGGCTGTGGCCTCAGATTCCACCAACTGATTGGAGAGCCATTGCCACCATGATCATGAACCTGCTAGTTAGTTTCAGGCATTAAGTCATGTGCTCACAAACTTGATGGGCATCTCAACACTGTAACTACAGTCTGAAGCTTCTTTTCACCCTCTGGCCTCATCCTCTGATAGCTAAGTACTAACAGTATTCAAAGACAAAATGGAAAATAGGGCAGAAAGGAGGGAAGTGGTGATGCAATCAGATTGGTAAATAATTTCTAATCTTATTTAAAAAAAATATTAGCCCTTTCCCAAGTCACCAAAGGTGACTCTGCTCAGTTCTCCTCTTCTTTCTTTGCTGCCTTCTGTATAGCCAAACCTTGCTTGCTTTTATTCATTCTCCTTTATTCCTAGATAAGGGAAAAAGCAAAACAAAACAAAACAAAAAATCTCCTTCAGACATGTGGACACTGTGGAAGGGTGAAAGTAGGTGAACTGAAAAGAGTCAATTTTGGAAGATACCACCTGCTGTCTTTGGATGAACATTCTTCACCATGTACATTCTTCACCACTTTAATTCCATGTATTTCAATTTGACATGAATTTCCTGACTGACTCATCTACACCCAGCAGGCACAGTGAGGTGCTGGGCATTCAAAGATGCCCAAATGAGGAGGTTTCTGGAGTTAGGCCACTTGTCAATATGCCCAGGGCAGAGGAGGGTGGCCCAGAAGGAAGTCTGGAGGTTGGCTGTGCCTATGGCTCCTCAGCCAGGCATTAGAACCTCTCTGGTCTGAATCACTCTTCTGGGTGAGTGGGACTCATTGTCACTAAACCAGTTTCTCATAGGATACATTCATATTCCCTTGATCCCAACAGAGGTGTATATACCCAGGCTCCCATATCCACCCAGGCCTGCTATGAGACCTCATGCTGATACACAGGTTCTATGAACTATGTGAGGCCAGAACTGGGGGCCTGCTGGGAGTGTATTCATGCACTCTATGGCCTGAATCAGAGAACCAGCCACCTCCATCCAGGCAGCTGGGTTGACAACTGCCCTCACTCTGAGTGAGAGGCTGGTGGCAAAGCACGTGGCTGTAGTTACTACCATCCTAGGGTAAAACATCAGGCTAAAAAAGACACTTTTAGGCATTCTAGTTTATTTCTTACTAGATATAAGGTAAATGTTTACTTTTATTTATTAGAAATGATTGACAAGTTGTACTCAAGGACTCTTTGAATAACTGAAAGGTGGCCATAGAAGGCAACAGAAGGAATGGACTGATTTGTCACTAAGTCTTGAGCTTTTAGGCAAGCATGTTTTTCCTCTTCTTGCTTCTGATCAAGGCAAAGAATTGCTGAAATAATAATGAGTTTCCATAACACTGTCCACTGAGAGGCTGTGAGTGTTCTACATACTCTAAACCCTAGTCCTTTCCACATTTCTTTGGACCTAGTTCACTGAACTCTATTTTTGGCCACAGAGGATCTGTTCTCTGAGAGATATCAGTGATATCTCTGTGACATTAGGGCTCAGATTGACACAGTGGAGCAGAGATGATGAGGACAGAGAAGGGAGAGACATCCACCTTTGTTGTTGTTAGATGCTGTCGAGTCATCTCCGACTCATAGCCACCTTATGCACAGCAGAACTCCACAATCCTTGCTATACTTGAGCCCCTTACCACTGCCACTGTGTCAATCCTCTCATTGAGGACCTTCCCCTCTTTCATCGACCCTCCACCTTGCCAAGCATGATATCCTTCTCCAGGGAATGGTCCCCTCTAACAACATGACCAAAGTAAGTGAGATGAAGTCTGGCCATTCTCATTTCCAAGGAGCATTCTGCCTGTATTTCCTCCAGAACAGATTTGTTAGATCTATTAGCAGTCCATGGTACTTTCAGCATTCTTTGCCAGCACCACAACTCAAAAGCATCAACTTTTCTTTGGTCTTCCTTATTCATTGTCCAGCTCTCACATGCATATGAGGCGATTGAAAATACCGTGGCTTGTGTCAGGTACACCTTAGTCCTCAAGGAGACATTTTTGCTCTTCAGCACTTGAAAGAGGTCATTTGCAGCTGATTTGCCCAGTGCTGTACATTGTCTGATGTCCTGTTGCTTCCACTGGCATTGACTGTAGAACCAAGCAATGTGAAGTCTTTGACAACTTCAAATTTTTCTCCATTTATTGTGATGCTGCTTATAGGTTCAGCTGTGAGGACTTCTGTTTTCTTTAAACTGAGCAATCCATAATGCAGACTGTATTCTTCAGTCTTCGTAAGTGCTTCAAGTTATCCTCACTTTCAGCATGCAAAGTTGTGTCATCGGCATATCCCAGGTTGTTAATGATTCTTCCTCCATCCTGAATCCACTTTCTTCTTCATCTAGTCCAGCTTCTCAGATTATTTGCTCAGCATACAGATTGAGTAAGTATGGTGTAATGATACAACCCTGACACACATCCTTCTTGATTTTAAAACATGCAGTGTCCCCTTGTTCTGTTTGAACAACAGCCTCCTGGTCTATGTACAGGTTCCTCATGAGTACAATTAAGTGTTCTGGAATTCCCATTCTTCTCAATATTACCCAAAATTCGTCATGATCCACACAATCAAATGCTTTGGCATAGTCAATAAAACACAAGTAAACATCTTTTTGGTATTCTTTGCTTTTAGCCAAGATCCATCTGACATCAGCAATGATATTCCTCATTCCACATCCTCTTCTGAATCCAGGTTGCATTTCTGGAAGGTCACTGTCAATATAGTACTGCAATCATTTTTGAATTATCTTCAGTAAGATTTTACTTGCATGTGATATTAATATCATTTGATAATTTTCACATTCTGTGGGATCACCTTTCTTTGGAATAGGTACAAATATGGAGCTCTTCCAGTCAGTTGGCCAGGTAGCTGTCTTCCAAATCTCTTGGCATAGCTGAGTGAGTGCCTCCAGTGGGGCATGCGTTTGTTGAAACATGTCAACGGGTATTCTGTCAACTCCTGGAGCCTTGTTCTTCATCAATTCCTTCAGTGCAGCTTCAATTTCTTCCTTCAATCATTGGTTCGTGCTCATATGCCACCTCCTGAAATGGATGAAGATCTACCAGGTCTTTTTGGTACGATGACTCTGTGTATTCCTTCCACCTTCTTTTGATGCTTCCTGCATCATTTGATATTTTACCCATAGAATCATTCAATATTGCAACTCATGGCTTAAATTTTTTCCCCAGTTGTTTCAGCTTGAGAAATGCCAAGCATGTTCTTCTCTTTTGGTTCTCTAACTCCAGGTCTTTGCACATTTCATTATATTAATTGGCTTTGTCTGCTTGAGCTGCTCTTTGAAATCATCTGTTCAGTTCTTTTATCTTGCCGTTATTCTCCACTCAAGGGCAAGTTTCAGAGTCTCTTCTGACATCAATTTTGGTCTTTCTTCTTTTTTCCTTTCTTGTCTTTTAAATGACCTCTTTCTTTCTTCACAGATGATGTTATTGATGTCATCTCATAATTCTTCTGGTTTTTGGTCCTTGCTCCTCAGTGCATAAAATCTATTTTTTAGATGGTCTCTAAATTCAGGAGGGATATATTCCAGATCATATTTTGGCTCTCTTGGACTTGTTTTAATTGTCTTCAACTTCAAGTTGAACTTGCATATGAGCAGTTGATGGTCTGTTCCACAATCAGCTCCTGGCCTGGTTTTGGCTGAAGATACTGAGCTTTTCTATTGCTTCTTGCCACAGATGTAGTCAATCTGATTCCTGTGTACTTCATCTGGTGAAGTCCCCATGTACAGCCACTATTTGTGTTGTTGAAAAAAGGTACTTGCAATGAATAAGTCATTCATTGGTCTTGCAAAACTCTATCATGCAGTCTCCAGAATTATTTTTGTCACGAATGCCAAATTTTCCAGCTACTGGTGATTCTTCTTTGTTTCCAAATTTTGCATTCTAGTCACCAGTGATAATTAATACATCCCAATTGCATGTTTGCTCAATTTCAGACTGCAGAAGTTGATAAAAATCCTCAATTTCCTCATCTTTCGTTTTGGTCATTGGTGCGTAAATATGAGTAACAGTAATATTAATGGCTCTTCCTTGTAAGCATATGGATATCCTATCACTGACAGCATTGTACTTCAGGAGAGATCTTGAAACATCCTTTGTGATGATGAATGCCACACCATTCCTCTTCAAATTGTCATCCCCGGCATAGTAGATCATGTGGTTGTCTGATTTAAAATGGCAAAAAATGGTCCATTTCAGCTCACTAATGGCTAGGATATCAATCTTTATGCGTTACATTTCATTTTTGACAATTTTCAATTTTCCTAGATTCATACTTCGTACATTCCATGTCTGTATTATTAATGGATGTTTGCAGCTGTTTCTCCTCAATTTAAGTCAAGACATATAAGCAAACAGAGGTCCCGAAAGCTTTACTTTATCCATATCAGCAAGGTTGGTTCTACTCTGATGAGGCAGCTCTTTCCCAGTTGCATTTTGAGTGCCTTCTGACCCAAAGGGATCATCTGCCTGCATTGTATCAGACAATGTTTCCGGGCTATTCATAAAGTTGAGCAGTAATGTATCAGACAGTGTTTCTCTGCTATTCATAAGGTTTTCCCTGGCCAATTCTTTGAGAAGTGGATGGCCTCTTCTTTCTTCCTAGTCTATCTCAGTCTATAAGCTGTGTTGAAACCTGTGAACCATGTGCAACTCTGCTGTCATTTGAAACACCAAATTAGCCGTGGTCAAAGCAAAGCAAAACAATAACTACAAAGACACAGGATATTATTTGAAAAATGTGCAGGAACTTGCAGGTGCAGAGAAGAAAGTATGGAAGGATATACATCAAACTATCAGAAGTGAGCAGGAAAGGGGATTACAGGTGGACATGTCCACTCTTCTACTTTGGCTATTTTCATCCTGTTTGAATTTTAAAAGTACAGATTGCTTTGGCAATTAACAGAAGCACTTAAGATTTTAAAAAATTAAAAAGTAGCTACAGTGAAGAGGGACACAGAAAGAGGGTTGCTATAATCTCTTCTAGACCCTCGGTGGTGCAAATGGTTAGCACACTAGGTTGCAAATTGAAAGGTTGGTGGTACAAGTCCACCCAGAGGCACCGTGGAAGAAAGGCGTGTGATCTACTTCTGAAAAATTAGCCACTGAAAACGCTGTGGTTTTTCACAGTTCTACTATGACACACATGGGGTCACTAGGAGTCAGAACTGACTTGATGACAACTGTTTGTGTTTGTTTTTTTAAAACATATCCTCACTTGAGACATTAATGTAGATACCACTATGAAAAGAAGGAAAAGTAGGAGTGCGTACACTAAGAACTAAACTTTGTTTAATGTTTATTTTGTATCAGGTACTGTTTTAATTGTTTTATGTATCTTAATATATTTTATGTAACCAAAAGCTCTAAATACCTCCTGTTTACAGATGTGGATATTGAGGCACAAACAGTTTAGTAACTTACCCAATGTCATAGCTAGCTAGTAGGAAGCAGAACTGGGTTTGACCCAGGAGGTTTGGCTGTAGAGCCTGGGAGTGTAAGGACTGCCCTCTCCTGCCTGAGAATGACCAGAGAAAACAAAAGCTTGAAGGGTGAAGTGTGATCTGGCAATCCTGATGCTGGATGAATCTGACAAAGAGCAAAATGAGGATGAGGCAGTAGTTTATGGGGATGAGATGATTCATAAGACAAGGTAAGAAAAGGAGACCTGAAAATGGCAAATTGCCCAGAAAGGAAATTTCATGTAGTGCAAATGGCACATACACACCTATAAAGTAAAGAAAAAGCAGAACTAGAGAAAATTAGCCTGGGAGGGGAAAAATGGGTATATAGCTAATATCAATGATATCAACTACTTTGCATTTTCTTCAAGGATTACTGCCAGGAAATATTTTAATAAATACTCTGCTAATAGAAAGGAGCTCAGTGCCTAAGGCATTTGACTGATAATCAGAAGGGTTGGTGGTTCAAACCCATCAGCTGCTCTGCAGAAGGAAGATGGGAGAAATCTACTTCTGTAAAGATTTTCTACCTTGGAAAATCTTATGGGGGTTGCAATGAGTTGGAATTGACTCAGAGGCAGTGGCTTTGATTTGGTTTGGTCTCCTGGTGGAGCTTTTAAATACACAGTATATGAAGTGTCTCACAGTGTATCAGACGGAGGTTTTCAAACTTTACATTAGAAGAGAGAAGTTTCTATGGACTATTGAAAAACATAGAACACAAATCATTCCTGCATATATACATACAACTAAATCTGTAAAGTCCTCATCACAGAACTAAGATACCTCACAAACACAACACATCTTTTTGCTGTTAATACTCATACCATATTTGTGTAATCAGTGATAATAAAGCAACTATGTAGTCACAAGTCTAATTTTAATTCATTCTGAAGAGAATTTTATACCAATAAGATGGAATTTTAAAACCAAAAGATTTTGACTTCAGTCCTCTGCTATTATTTTCATCAATCTTACTTACCTTTGAAGATTTCCCTTGTGATTTTCTTCTTCCTATAAAGAAGAAATAAGTAAGTTCGTCTGAATCAGTTGATTTTGGTTATCCTGGAGCCTTGAATATGTTAAAATGGTTTGTTTTGCTCTGCTCTCCTATGAACATACCATCTAAAATGTACATTGAGGCAAAGTTTTAGTCAGGAGTGCTAGTGTCTCTAAGCCCTTTGAAGTACAATAATAAAACCATGAATCCACAGCCTGATGATGGGGTTGGAGCCTCAGTAGTTAAGGGAGGTGCCTGAATGAGAAGAACTGGCTATAAACTTGGTCTTGGAAGTCAGTTTCTCTATGCTTCTTCAAAGGGCCCAGCTACTATGCGATTCCAAAGCCAGCTTTTATAACCACCTTGTGTGAGTATAAAAAGGAAGCTCTTATGGCATCATGGTTGAAACATTTGGCTTCTAACCAAAAGTTCAGCAGTTCTAACTCACTAGTCACTCTGTGGGAGAAAGATGAGGCAGTCTGCTTCCTTAAAGATTCACAGCCTTGGAAATCCTATGGGGTAGTTTTACACTGTCTTACAGGGTCACTATGAGTTGGAAATGACCTGGTGGCAGTGGGTTTGTTTTTTTGGTTTGTGTGAGTATAAGTATGTATGAGTGTGTGTTTGTCAAGAAGGGGTTAGAGAAGGAAAAAATGGAAGGTAGATGTTCATTGGCCCAAACTGTGCTATGGAAGTTGATGTAACACCCTTAGACTTGAGCAAACATGTCTATATAGACACAGAGGTGAAGTTTTAGTGACTTTCCCTTAAGAAGAAGAGTGATAGCTGGTCCACATGCAAAAGAATGAAGCAGGATCTATACCTGACATCATATATAAAAACCAGTTCCAAATGGATCAAGGAGCTAAATGTGGAACCAAAAAAAATAGAACTCTTAGAAGAAAACCTAAGGGTATTGTTTAAAGGCCTAGTTTTTAACAATGGATTATAAGATATAACACCAAAAGCACGAGCAGCAAAAGACAAAATAAACAAATGGGGCCTTATCAAAATTAAAGAATGTTTGTTCATCAAAGGGCTTTATAAACAAAGTGAAGAGATATGCTAAAGAAAACTTTGGGACCTATCTATTTGATAAGGGTTTAATACCCAGAATACATAGAGAACTCCCCACAACTTAACAACAAAAAGACAAAGACTCCAATGGAAAAACCAGCAAAAGACTTGAACAGACATTCCAAAGAGGATACACAAATAACCAACAGGGACATGAAAAGATGTTCAATGTTATTATCCACTGGGGAGATACAAATCGAAACCATAATGAGATACCCTCACCCACATTAAAATGGCTATGATTAACAACAACAACAACAACAAAAACCAGAAAATAACACATGTTGGTGAACATACGGAGAGAAACTGGAACCCTCACCTATTGTTGGTGGGAATGAAATGTGGTCTAACAGTTTAGTGGAATACAATTTAGCGGCTTCTCAAAAAGCTGAACATAGAATTACCATATGACTCAGCAATCCCAATCCTGAGTATCCACCCAAAGGAACTGAAAGCAGGAATGCAAACAGAAACTGTACACTAATGTTCATTGCAGCATTATTCACAATAACCAAAAAGTAGAAACAATCTAAATATCCATCAACAGATGAATGGATAAACAAAATTTGGTACCTACATATAATAGAAATAGAAATGAAGTCCTGATAAATTGCTACAACACAGATGAACCTTGAAAACATTATAATGAATAAAATAAATCAGTCACAAAAGAATTAATACCTTCTGATCTCACTTATGAAAACACACAAATGTACAGAGACCAAAGCTTATTAGTGGTTACTAGGGGCAGAAGGGATGGCAGAAGGGAGAACCACTGCTTAGGGGGCACAGCACTTATGTTAATGGTGGTGGAACATGGGAAAAGGATAGACATGACAGTTGTACACATGATGAATATAATCAATGTAACTATAATGATTATTTAATTATACATGGAAAGATTATTGAATTGGTAATTTTTTTTTAATTGGTAAATGTTTTAATATGTATTTTTTCCACAATTAAAAAAAAAGTGACAACTGGGCTGGCAGAGAATACTATCAACACAAGGATGCCTACTGAGAAAATATTCTTGTGCTGTCATGTTCTTGAAAAAGCAGCAAGGACCCTAGAAAGCCTTTGATAGTAACAGAAATTAATTCTTGGGCACAGTAAGTAGCAAGAGGCACATTTCCCTTTAGGGAGCATGCCAATTATCTCTGCCATGGAGATTAGTATGAAGCCCAGGCCTCTATCTGTCTCCTAATCTCCTAACACTTTCCTTCAGCAATTAAACTAAAGCATATTAAATTGCCAATAGATCAGAAATAGTAGAATACTGGTGACCGCACATGGTTCAAACTAATACATATTGTTGAGGATAAGGCACTTTACTTCATGACATGTGACTGTTATGTCATGTCCACATATTTCAACAACAAACTATTTCATGTGACCTCTTCTAATTCAGTGTTTGGGAGACCAAATTCTGTTAAATGTATTCTCAGGTAGTAATTCCTAGAGGGAATTTAAAAAACTTAGGTTTAAAAAAGGGAGTTCTGGTGTCATAGTGCCTAAGGCATTTGACTGCTAATAAGAAGGCTGGTGGTTCAAACCCACCAGCCACTCCTCAGAAGGAAGATTGGGCAATCTACTTCCGTAGTGATACCTGCCTCGGAAACCCAAGGAGGGGTAGCTATGAGTTAGAGATGACTCGACAGCACATAGCAACAACAACAATTAATTGAGTTGGTCATTGAATTGAACAGGTTTAAAAAGGGTATAACTAGGAAAACCTAGTAATAAGTTTTACTTGAAATTTTAGTACATAGTTTAGCTCACATTTGCTACCTGAATTATATAAGGATTCTAAGTGTTGAGTTTAATTTCCTTTGCACAGAATAATATACACCTACTCCTCACTTATTGACTACATCATTATCTGACATTTCACATTTAGGACAATAGTAAAACAAATCCATCCAACTACTCTGTACATTAATGAGGCAGTGGGCGTGGTGCCAATGAAGGCAGAGTGTCCCTTCCCTCAAGGAGGGTCTCTGGGAAGCTGAGCCATGCTGCCTCCACACCCACGGCACCAGGGGGCCCTATATCTAGCTGCCATGCATGGCCAGTCTCCTCTGCGGTCATGGTCTTTGGGCAGATGCACAGGTAGCACCAAGCCAGCAGGCACCTGTTCTGGCTTCCCAGCTCCTATGTGGCTTGAGGCTTGCAGGCAGGCTCTCAGCATCCTTGCGGGAAGCTCTGAGCCTTGTTGACTCACCAGGCCCTGAGGGCTTGCAGAGGTGGAAGTGGAGCCCTGGACGCATCTCTGCAAGGGAAGCTCTGACCCATGAAGGAAGGTAAAGTGGTTAAGCCATGGGCCTCCAGATATACAGCCTGGCTTTATCCAGCTTTGTCTCCTTCCAGCCTCTTCTATGCAGAGGAATAACCCATAACTGGGCTCATCACAATCATGAACACATCAGTAAATCTCAGCTGTTATTATTTCTATGATCATATTTTCTAATAATAATAATGAGACAAATGGATGGTCTGAAAACAGAAAATCATAATTCTACATTTTCATATGATGCTGATTTTCACATAACAACCTAGTCTTTGGAACTTATGTCAATAGGAGAGCAGTAGGTATATTCATAACATGTCACTGTTCAGAGATATTTGCTTCTTCCAGTTGTTGGGTTATTTCCTTAGAACAGGTATTTTGGGTTATTAGTTTTTTATAATCAGAAGATGATATTATGATTTTAAGAAAAATATATACTTCTCAGAATTATTAACTTCCTTTGTATATTGTGCTGGACAAAATCATTTGTGAGACCCTTCCTTCTACACAGGATACTATCCCAGTATTTCTAAACCAGACTGAGGACAAGGGTGCAAAATCAAACTTATGGAGCACAGGAGTTTAGGGTGAGGACCATACACAAAACCTCACCAGTGTGAAGATTTCACTTTTACTAAATTGAGAGTATGGGACACACGAAAGCCAGTGAGGAGACCCGACCCAGCACTGTGGGTTTAAGTACAACTCTCTTCTTGCTGTGGTAAGAAGCTAGCATAGAGTAAGCCATGCTGACCTCAGGAAGGCAGTTCCTGAACTCCCGCTCCAGCCTTCGGGGCGGGAGCTCTTCAGGCTCCTCATCCAGTGACAGGGCATCCAGGTAGAGGTTCTCACTGGCCGAGCACCTGTCTGACTCCTTCAGCTTTGACAGGGGCCGGTCTTCAAAGGGGATGGATTCCACATCAGAGCAGGACCACATTCCCCTGGCACGAGGTACATGCACACTTCCCTGGTAGGGGAAGGGGCAGGGGCTGCCTTCTTTTTGGTCACAGAGGAAACTGCCACCTCTCCGGGGACTGTTTTCTTTCTGCAACTTGAGAGTGGTAAAAGTGAAAATAATTAGTAACACATTTTTTTCTGTTGCTATGTTCCTAAGGCCATATTTTCTCCACAAAACCAAAAAATCAAACTCACTGTCGTCAAATTGGATCTGACTCATAGTGACCCCTCCTTGAGGCAGGATCACTATGGAAGTAGATTGTCCAACCTTCCTTCTGAGGAGTGGCTCATGGGTTTGAACCTTCAGCCTTCTGGTTAGCAATCAAATGCCTTAGGCACCATGCCACCATTTTCTCCACAATTTTGAATTATTATATATGGGTCAATATGAAAGGTTTTGTGAGACACAAATATTCTTAAAATATTGTCCTTAATTTCAAAATACAACATAAGATTATACCATACCACATACAATTCTAATGGTGAGCTCACATGCTACAGGGTAGAACAGCTCCACAGGGTTGTCTTGGCTATAATTTTTATAGAAGAAGACTGCCAGGCCTTTCTTCTGCAGTGCTGCTGGGTGGATTCAAACTGCCAACCTTTAGGTTAGTAGCTATTACAAATACGTAAAAAACCCAATAATCTCATCTGGTTAGAAAATTTATTTGGAAATGGAAAATCTTCATTAGTTCACACGAGTGTGGTGAGCTTGTTCAACTAGAATACATGTTATCATACACAGTTTTGAGTGCCATGCTCATGAGGAACTATGCATCTATTTTTTAAAAAATCTAATACTATTTTTTTTTTTACACTACCTGATGTAAATGTTCACCCTATATGCCTGTCTGTTGTTTGGCTGGAAGCCACAGGAGTGAACTCAGTTCCAGGCCTGAAAGGTTACTAGGGGCCATAGTCTTGTGGATCTCACTGGGCTCTGTCAGACTAGAAAAACCTGATCTTTTTTGTGATTTTGAGTTTTGTTCCACATTGTTCTCCCACTCTATCCAGGATCCTGCACTGATCCCTTTCCAAGTGGCTGACAGTGTTAGCCTGTTTCATGGTCATCATATAGGATAGGATTACATGGTCTGCTAGTTCCTTAAACTAATTGTTTTCATGCATCTTTAGTTTTCTTTCTTCTTCTTTGCTCTGGATGAGAAGAGACCCATTGTTGCATCTAGATGGCCACTTACAAGGTTTTAAGACCCCAGCCACAACTCACCAAAGTAGGATGTGGAACAATGTTTTAGTGTAGTTGTTGTTGTTGTTACGTGCCATTAAGTTGGACTCGACTCATAGTGACCCCTCCTTGGGTTTTCGAGGAGTTATCACTACGGAAGTAGAATGCCCAACCTTCCTTCCGAGGAGTGGCTAGTGGGGTTGAACCACCAGCATTCTGGTTAGCAGGCAAGTGCCTTAGATGCTACACTACCAGAACTCCCTTTTAGTATAGTATGTCATGCCAATTGAGCTTGATGTCTCGTACAACCATAGTCCTCTGAACCCAGAGGTCCAATTACTCACTCCCTTAGGGAGGCTGGCTGTAGCCAAGATGTTATCTAATATTAAACAACTTGTTTAGAATTATCTTTGGAGTCACCTTCCAAACTTAAGGCATATTCAATGGAATGTCACCAATGACAGCAAATGCCCAAGGGTGAATTTGATTTTCCTAACTATCCCCAAAATCATTTGGATCAAGTCCTAACCTAAGTCATCAAACTGGGCTGGGACTGTTTGGTGTCAAAAACAAGTTATATTTTGCTTGAGAAGCTTAAACTGCTGAAAAGGCAGTTAAATATCCAACATAACTGGGGGAAAAAAAAGGCCACAGTTTATAGTCACAATTTTATAGTCACATTTTTTTGCTTGATTAAATACTTATAAGAAGTTATGGGAAAACACTCAGCCACAGGGAGTCAGGAGGACCTGAGTTAGAATCACACTTGTGTGACTTGCTGGTTGGCTGAATAACCTGAGCACATCTGTAAAATGGGGATGTCCATGAACCCAGCATCAGTGTACCCCTCAGGGTGTCTGTGAGACCACCACCTACCTCCCTTGAGTCTACTCTGTTCTGTTGGGCCTTGGCCCATAGATCATGCCTTTCTGGCTTATTTATAGCCTGGAACTAGATCTTGTGGGGGTATTTCAGGAAATAAGCCAGTGCAGAATCACAGGGAACTGCTGAGATAGGTGGGGACACAGCAGGCACACAACCACATGTGCTCCACTGAGGAGCCCTCGTCTGTGGTGTGAAATTCACGCTGGATGTTTCCTTCTTACCTCCTTTCAAAACATGTACAGGAAGCATGGTCAAGACCTGAGGATGTTTTACCTGAACACCTTGAGTGAGGGCTTTATTATAGGACAACACGCTCACACATTCTCCTGGGTCGACTGTTCTTTTTAATAAGTACATTAACTGAATGACTATAGAGACATTTGGATTTGACCTGAAGGAGTGGCAGTATAAAAACCTTTAGTCGTCAAGTGCTAAGATGGTGCCAGGAAATTCTCTAACCCCCTTGGAAGCATATCAATTTACTTTGTAGAAGAGCATCTTTACAAACTGTATCTTTGTGTCCTAAGTAAAACCTTCACCCACAAGTTGGATATAAGCATGGCCTATGTACAGCTCACAATGAAGATATGTGAAGTAATGAGGACTCAAGGGTGTTTACTCATCTTTAGTAATTTCTGAACTAATGAATCACATCTCAGAACATTGTCTCTCTGTTATGAAGAGAGGGAGGTTCAAGTAGCTGGAGTTTAAATGTCAGCATCTGAGGCAGAATCACAGTCAACTTGGGGAGCAACCATTCGTTCTAGGTTTTTGCTCAGCCTTCTCCACCTCCCCCACCCAATGACACAGTTCTTAGCAGTTCTCTTGTAAAGATGCTAAATACTTTCTTAAAAAAAAAAAAAAATGAAAAGGAAAGCTTTTTATTATGTTCATCTAATGAATGTCAGCACAATTTAGTCTCAACACATGATCATCTCCAAGCTATTTTGGGCAAGGAATTAAAATGCAAGAATCACATGTGAAGCTGTCAATGTGCAGAGAGTGTGAGTGAAGAGGGAGCAGGAACCAGAGGGAGCTGGGAACAAGCCGGCTCTCATCGTGAAACTGGGAGCTCAAAAATAGACCCAGCCGCCAGGAGCAGCTTGTGCTAAAGCTGGCAAGTGTTAGGTTTCCTCAGAATGAATTGCAATGGGTTTGACTGGAGGTCTCCGCTGTGCAGATGCCTCTGGGGTGCTGCCATGGAAGAATGGGTCCTTAAAGGATAAGGTTTCCTAGGGGAATCTCATCTCAAATCAGGAATCAGTACCTACTATACTTAGAACCTTGCAGTAGAACAACTTTTAAGGCAAATAGAAAATTTGAAAGATTTGCATTTCAAATAATACAGCAAACAATAAACCCTCAAGAGTGTCACCTTACTTGGAAAGGTCCAAATAGAAAAGGTTACTCTCTAAACAGGCTGCAAAAGAAGGGCCTTTCAGGTTGCAAAGCAGCTGTTTTAAGAAAGTTACTGGAAAGAACCCTAGGTGACACATTATGAGCTTTGCTTCAGTGCTTTTAAGTATAGTGAGCACAGCTCATTACTGTCTGATCTGTATGTCAACTGGGAAAATAAAATTCTGAGGGGAAACACCATGAGCCCATAAATGTTAACTATCAACCAATTGAATTTGGACTGAAACAAAAGATGTTGATAAGATAGATGGTATGCATTATATGACCGCCACCAAGTTCTCACAGTCATTCATCATATAAGATGCCTCTGTGTTACAGAAATTATGTAGGAATTTAATGACACCGGACAAGCATGAAGCATGTGTTCTGAAAGTGGAAAATGGATTTACTGTCACTTCTTTCACCATCTGCATTAGGTCATCATAGCCAAGGCTCTATGGCTTACCAAGTAGTCAAATATCGAAAGCATACATTGTCTAATAATTTATGAAGGATGTTCAGTTACATTTCTTATTTATCTATGGAATGTATAGCTAAAAGTTAAATAAACGAGCCAACCAATGTTGTTGTTGTTGCTATGTGCTGTCGAGTTGGACCCAACTCACAGCGACCCCTCCTTGGGTTTCCGAGACAGTATCACTACGGAAGTAGATTGCCCCATCTTCCTTCCAAGGAGTGGCTGGTGGGTTTGAACCACTAGCCTTCTGATTAGCAGTCAAGTGCCTTAGGCACTACACCACCAGAACTCCTAAGTTCTAAGCCAACCAATAGCTAATTTAAAAAAAAAAAAACCAGACAAAATCTTTACATGCATTTCATCCAATTTCCTGTCTTACAGAGAATGCCTTACCTAGTTTTCAGGATTTGGCACCAAGGTTTGAAATATATTCTTTAACAATGTTGATTACTTTGGGAAAAAGGCTACATTTATTTTTGAAAGCCATAATTGTACATCTGAAGCATCAGTTCATTGGTAACAAATCCTCTTCTAAAAATGGCAGTGAAATCATTGCACAAAGACTGTGGGATTCACCACAACAGATGAATGCTTGAAACTCACGTGTTGTGAATAAATTATGCCAAGAGCCATCAAGAAGACTGAAATCCTGAGGTTGTCTGTTTGGTAGAAATGTTGCAATAGTGACAAGTTGGAAATAGGGTTCAGCTGCTGACTACTCTTACCTTTCTGAAATACAGTTTTAAAGTGAGGCACCTGCTCATCCTTAGGTCATGAATTATTTAAAATTTGAAGAACACTGAATTGTCTTACCCAGCTTCCTTTTATTAGAAATTCTCCATTTCCAAGAATAAAATAAAAATTTAAAGACTTCCTTAACTTATACCAAAGTATGGCTTTCAAAATGAAGGTTATGCCAAGACCAACAAGTCACTATAGCAAATCTGTCAAGGGGATTCAAAAAAGGTCATGGCAAGGACCATGAAGGCCCCTTGGTGTACATGAGGGATATCCTACAAAGTGAGAGACACTAGAAGGGAGGCCAAGAAGGAAGCTCCTAGCGACAAGGTGACTGAAATTACTTGTGATACAGGTTAACTAATGTTGGGTATAATGAATTCATGATAAACTTGTGATCAAATTCATAAGAACTTATGCTTTTACCCCTATAACTTTCACCCGTGTTCTGTTCAGTGGCGCACAGACACATGAGGGAGTTTAGTACAGAAAAGTCTTCCTAAGTGCTCTATATCCAAGCCAAATAGGAAGTGGCCAATATGCCTAGTGATAGGATTTAGGGATTTTTGAAATGGAGCCATATAAAAAGCAGTTAGGTGACTTAATTGTGAGTAATCAAACCCAGGAAGAACAAATATGGGTCAGCTCCTTTTAGTATTTTCTTCTCCTCAATGGTTTCTGAGCCAAAAGTGTCTGGTTTTTTTTTTTTTTTAACCACTTAGTTCATTTTCCTTCCCTCATTCTCCAACATTATGCTTAAACTAGCCTTTGTTGTTGTACCTGCATAACAGGTACAATCATCTGTGAAGAACAGAATATATTTTTCAAAAGCCTCTCATGTAAATAACAGGCAAAATGGGTATTTATAACAGAGTAATGAAGATATTTTCCCTGAATTCAGTTTCTCATTGATTAATATATTTCCTTGTGGCTTCAAAAATTTATGTATGACAGGCTGAAACAAATAAAATGCATGCTATGGAAAGATCTGGCCAGGGAGGAATTCCAAACCTTCATCAATTTAATGTGAAAATTTAATGTGTGCATCACTCAGGAACTACTACAACTAAGCCAACTGTCCTAAGGCTGATGCAATGCAAAGAATGATTATCTGGGGAACTGATCCCCTCCCTCCCCCCAAATTCATCTGGCTTTTTGAATCATTTGTTTGGCTGAAGAGGATGAGCTACCTCCCTTGATGACAGTCCTATCTAATCATAGCTCAGCAATATCCACAGCAGGTGCAATCAGCAGCAAACAGCCTGACCTGTAATGCAATTCAGCAATTTCTTTACTAATAGACAACAGCAATCCCATTCAATCTGGAGCAGCCTCTGTGACCACATCTTCCATGGCAAACTGAAAAGATAGTTTGCTTTTTGGCAGACATCACCGTACAAGACCTGAAATAACCTCACTTTTCAAGTTTAGTCTTTAAATTTCTTTAAAAAGTTATTTCCTCTCTCCACTCTGCATTCCTCCTTCTACAAGAAAGTTGCCTACAACCTTCACAATGAAAAGATCTGCATAACAGAAGGGCATGAGCCTAGGCTTTCAGCACTAGAAATTCTAGTGTTTCCTTGTCTTCTTGTGGAAGTCCAGGAAACACACTGATGCAGCAAGGATCTCACGCAGCCTGATTTCTAATGTTTTACTTCATAATTGTTATTGATTTCCAGATCAATTTAGTTAACTACAACCTATTCCCTGTTTTCTGGTGTCTGGCATGCTTCCGTACCTGCTCTATTCTCCACAGAAATTCCTTCTTCTGCCGTTCCCACTCCTGCCGATCTCTATCCAGGCGGTCAAGAAGCTCCACCTTCTCCCGGCTCCAGTTCTTCTCGCTGTGATGGATCTGCCAGCGCAGGTCCATGACCAGGACATGACTGTCAGCGAGGAGCTTCTTGTGTGCCTCTCTCTCCTTCCGAAATGCCACTTTACTGTCAGTGGAAGGACCTGGTTCCCCTAAGTTCTTCTCAGTCTTCTCTTCTAGCTGTCAAGGAGAAAAAACTTTTGGAACCCCCCTCTGGCAAGTCTCGCATTAGGTCATGAAGCACATCTTAGCACACTTACATATTATCCCTGGAAACATGTTTAAACCAACATGTGACCAATCTCATGGGGAAAAAAAACCAAATTTCACTATAAAGTACCAATTAAGAACAGTTGATATAGATAATCACACAGACTGTTAAGCTAGTCCACTAAGAGCTGTTATGTTTCCTATGGCTCAAGCTTTCCTATTCTCAGTTACTACCATCTCTTGTTTGCACTACTGTATAACTCCATGAGGGCAGGGACCATGTCTATTCTTACTTATTTTTCAATATTTTATTGTTCTTTTAGGTGAAAGTTTCCAGTGAATTAGATTCCTATTTAACAATTTTTACACAAATTATTCTGTGACATTTTGTTACAATTCTCACGATGTGTCAGTATTCTCATTATTTCCATTCTATTTGTATGTTTCCATTGACCTAGCTTCCCTTCCCCTCCTTGCCTTCTCATCTTTGCTTTTGGGTAAATGTGGTCTGTCTGGTCTCATGTAGTTAATTGCTTAAGAGATATATTACTCATGGGTGGGTGCCCACATCTATTCTTAAATCCTTAGCCCCTATATAGATCCCAGGAGCTCTGGTAGCATAGTGGCTAAAGCACTTGACTGCTAACCAGAAGGCTGGCGGTTCAAACCCACCAGCCACTCCTC